TATCGGTCAAACTAAATTTAGTTAATTCATTAACATGTTTGTTTTTTTTTATCATATTATATGAATTATATATATATATATATATGAGCAAAGTTAAGATATTTCCCTCAGCTCTCCCTAATGCCCCATATATAGTGTACCATGGAGACATTATTAAACAATGTAATGATCAATTATGAATCATATTATAATCAAAGCTTATGTCTACTTGTTCAATAGCATTAATGACAACAAAAATATGAAGAATGCTAAAAGAAAATGGTTCACGTACACCATTTTTCGCTACACTATTCCAACACCTTAGCATAGTGTAAAATATTCAATGTTTTAAAGTGAAAGATGACATGGTATTGCTCCTTTATTTACTTGATGAGAAGAAGAAGCGGAACCGCGGGGTGCGGGTGGCATGTGTGAGAAATGGAAAAGGATAAAAATACAAATAAATACAAATAAAAGGAAAGAGAGAAGTAAAAGATGAGGAATAAATAAATAAATAAATGATGTCGACTCAGGGAAAGAAATGAAAAAGAGAGAAGTGATAAATCGTGAATTTGTACTTAGGTAAGCTCTGTTTTTGTAAATAATGGATTTAGTGTTTTTAGTTCAAGGTAACTATTGTCTTAAATAAGTTTGTTGTATACAAGTACACATGCATACAAGGTCAATGTAAATTTATTTATCTGTTGTATAAATGTACACATGAATACTTGATCTTAGGCATGAAATTGAGTGATTGTATATTGACTTTCGCTTATAAAAATATTCTAAAACTTACTTAGATCTATTGGATAAAAAAGTATCAAATAGGATGGTTATATTGACTTTCTCTTATTAATTAATGTTTTTAAAAGCTTAATCATTTTACATTTTTTATCCAATTCAATACAGTTTATTATAAATATTTCAAATTATGTATAAAAAATATTTTTCATTTTTTACTTACCTGACCTTATTTAAATTTACCTAAACTTATTAATTACCCAAATGAGTTTTGTCTTTTTATAATATTATTTTCATTTATTTTTTAAAACTAAAGTCAACAATTATGTTCATTAAATTCAAAAATCCAATTCTTATCACAAATTAAATAAACTCTTTTATATGTTTACATATATGGTGTCCATCATGTTATAGTAGAAAAGAGTGACCCTCATGCTGGTTTTCACGTGTTAAATCATGGCAAGATACTATTCATGTTACAAATTCTGAAATGCTTGCTCGGAGACCGGAAAACAAATAATATTAACATTGATAATTATATATATATATATATATAAATGAAAATGTTATTTTATAATTAATTTTATAGAATTCAGTTAAATTTAAAATTTATTTTTTAAAATATTATTCTATTTGTCGAATGAAAAGAGTAAATGTAAACTCCACAACTATCCTAGGAGCTCAAATTATTCCAAATAACACTGAAAAAAAAAAGTTATTTCTCAACATATTACTATTTTCTTGAAACCTAAAAGTTAAGAAAACCTATTTGTCACGACCATTACATTTAAAAAGAAATAATGATGAACATAATTAATATCTTACCTGACACACGTTCTAAATTTTACCAGACACGGAAAGATCTAATTGTACATGTTTATTTTTCGTACTCACCTATCGAAAGTCTTTTTACTAAGTTTATCCCCTATATATAGTTATACATATAAAATTATTATAAAGATAAATTTGGTAAAAATGATTTTAAATAGCTCTATATATTAAATTTTATTAAACCATTAAACAAAAAAGCTAAAAATAGTTAATAGTTTGGAATGGGTTGAAGAAAAAGTAGTGTTGTGTTTTTGATGATGTATTTAAAATGTAAAATTAAAAAGGGTTTGCCGACTGTCCGGGTTGGCGTAGAGAATAATGGGTTCATGCACTTATTCAACCAGCTATGTCGTTGTCATACTGCATCTTCAAGTTTAGATATTAATTAGCACTTGTAATGTAAAGTAATGGATCCTGTGGCATTGTCATTGAAAGATATACATTGTTGCAATTGATGGAGCCAAAGACAATGACCACTATGATTGCAATTCGTACACAATAACTACCCAGACGAACAAAGTGAATGTGGAACCTTACCTAATAAAAAACCTTCAACTTCTAAGTTCCACTCTGCCCCATTCCTGGGATCCTCATATATTGTCAAATTAATTCTCTGCTACTACTTTTATGTGGAATAAATTTTATCACAAACAAATAAATACTTTAATCGCTGCAAGAAAATATTATATTATTAATGATAAATAAAATACTTTGTTAAAAATATATTTTTTAATATATTTTATCAATTAAAAAGTATCCTTAAAATATAATTTATTAGTACAATTTTGGATTTTAAATACTAATAAAAATATCTGTCAATAAAAAAGGAAAAAAAGTAAGGAGGAAAAGAAAGAGTAAGAAGAGGAGGAGAATAAGAACAAGGATGTCGGAAGCCCCACATCGACTAGAGATAAGGCCAAATTATAGTATATAAGTGTGGTGCAAACCTCACTCTACAAGCTGGTTTTGTGGGGATGACTTAGGCTTAAAAACTCACTTTCTAATATAGTATCAGAACCATGGTTAGAGTCTACTCTAGCGAGTACTCTAGCGAGTTTTAAGTAGGCATTCTATTCTTCTATTCACCTGCTATCGAAATATTTTATGAATGAATTTTAGCTAACAAAAAAATCATTAATAAATTTACTTTATTAACATTTTTGTGTGACTATATTAATAAATTTTAACAGTCAATAATACTAAATTTTTTTATAGTGAATAATCTCAATTACTTTTAATAATGTTATAATTAATGTTAAATTAAAACGTATAAATAATTGTAAGTTTTTGATTTTACGATATATTAATTTATATTTCAAATTATTAACTCTATGGTATAATACGAGCTAGTCTTAGAACATTTACACCCACCTATTTAATTTTATGTTTGACATATATTTTTCTCATTACGAGTGAGTATGTTAAAAACATCAAAATAATTATAAATAAATTTAAATTAATATATATATATATATATATATATATATTTATTGTTTTTTCATTTAAATTGTGTTAATCGGTATAATTAATTAGTAATTCTTTTAATATGTAATTGTGTTGGAGAAAAAAAAATTACCATTTATAATGATTCTATTTTATACGGCTGAATTTGAGTGAATTGTTATGAATAAAGATACATGTATTATCACAAACCATCAATCAGATCGATTTAATTTGTTAATGATTACAAACAGATTCTATGCTTACTTTGTAACTCACTTTATGATCACAAGGGAGTGGAGAGAAATCTATTAATTAAAATTTGCTTCTACAAATATCATAGGTCACGAAATCTTCACTGTTAATGTCTGCTTATTAATTATTGTGATCAACACTCTGATTAATTAGCTTTCACGGTCTTTTTTCTTTCGTGTACAAGAATATATTGTAAGTTCACCTTTTCGTAATTAATTAATTACCATCTAATTAATCTTCAACGTTAACAATTAATCAAGCACTTGGTTAAGGTGGAACCATCCAGTAGATTATGATATGAAGCAACACCATGTAATCACATCTTAAAAAAAAAAAAGTATTATAGGATTTCCTCATGTAATCACATCTTACAAAAAAAAAGAAGTATTATAGGATTTCCTCACGATCTAGCATCAAATTAATCTTTATTAATAAAATGTTATCCAATAATAGTTAAATTATTAATATTTAATATAAATATAATGAGATAAAACTAGCGTTTTCACACAAAAAAAAATATTTATTATAAAGAAATTGTCAAAATATTTGTTCATTGATAATTATTAAAATATTTTTTCATCGATAATTATCAAAAGATTTACAGACAATTTTTTCGTTTATAATTATCGAAGAATTTGTTTATAATTAATTACAGGATTTATCCATCGTTAAATTTGTTTGTAAATACATGGGTGACAAAGTCAAATACAATTTGTATTATTTATTTATTACACAAACAAATAATCAGACCTACACATAATATGTAATTTGTATCCAAACAATCAACTTTCCTCCAAATATCGAACTACACAATATAAATATAAATTGGATCTTGTTATCTAAACAATCAAACTTGTAACATTATATTCAATCCACGATGATTTAATAAGACCTCCAAATATCTAACTGTATAATATAAATTGGACGTTGATATGTATTAATAGCACTCTCCAACCAAACAGTTCATATAAAACAAAAGAAAATGAATATTTATAAAAAACATAAAAATCATAAAATACTATATATTTAATTATATAATCCTAAATTTTAATACATTTTATTTTTTAATTTTTAAAAATAAATATAACTTTTTTAATTTAATTATATATTTTTTTCTTTTTTATATATATTAAAGAATCTTTGATAGTTGAACTTAATATATCAAATGATATATATATATATATATATATAATTATTTAACACAAACCATTATATTCATTCGTTGTTTAAGATTGAAGTCAAAATACATTAAAATTAAAAATAAAAACAAATTTTAATTTAATGTTCAAATTTAAAGACAAAAACATGTCTAACTATGTATATAATCAAGAAAAATCTGATAATAAATGATACAATTAACTCGAATTTTGACTAAATAAACTTTTTTATAACTTAGATACCTTTTGTTTTAATAATAAAGGTTACTAAACAGTGTACTTTGATCTTGAGCAACTTTTACAAATAAAGACAATAGACAAAACCTTGAATCAAATTTAAAAAATTAAATAGTGGAACATGAAGTACATTCCCGCAAAGCACTGTTTTTTTTTTTTCATTTCCTTGTTTAAGGAGAATAAATCATTTTAAATCATAAGTGCTAATTCGAACTCGTCCCAAACTGACAAAATAATCTAGCCGACCAGATTTAGATACAAATATTATGTTACTGTTGAGCATGTTTAAATACATCAATTTAATCACATGTATTTTATTTATACTTATAAATTGAATTTTGTTTATTTATATTAAAATTGTTACACAAAAATATTTACCATTTTATTTAGTTAGCTTTTTTCCGAGTCAAATTAGCATTTAGCACATTGAATGAAAATCGAAGCAGAAGAATGACATATACAGCTGACGAGGTAACACACATTACAGAACCAATAACATTTGTGGAAAAAAAAAAAAACTTCTGTTGATCATCTATCTATGTTTCTGGCTACTACTATCTTCACCTGTTGGAGCATGGATGCTGCGGCTTCTTAGTTCTTCAAAAGCCTTCATGCTCTCGGTATCAAAACCTCCTGCAAACTAAAAAGAGTTGCACTTATTTATTTGTGAGGTTGCACCAAGAAAATGCATAGCCTATTTCTCGGGCCAACAGTTTAGCGGCCCAACTTGTCCCATGACAAATGTTGACGGTTCCCTATTTCATTATTACTCAAGGATAACTTCATATATATATATATATATATATATATATATATATATATCTGTCTCTTTTACACAT